TGAGGCTTACAAGAAGCAGCGGAATCTATGCAACAGCGCAAAAGCACGAAAGCGTCAACAGTGTGAAGTGGATCTCGCAACCTCTCCGAAGACGGCCCTCAAGAAGATTTTTGCGTACCTAAAGCGACGCCTGAGGCCCGCAGGTAACCTAGCAGTGTTAGAGGAGTCGAGTGAACATGCTCTGACTTCCAGCACTGAATGCGCGTCCGCATTGGCGCCGCATTTCGCTTCCATATTTACAGGTGGACATGCACGTATGCCTAACTCGACGTGTGAAGCTCCTACGGAACTGGAGTGCAATATGAAAGATGTCTGCAGTGTACTTGTCAGTCTTGACAACACGAATTTTGCTGGACCCGACGACCTCCATCCGCTAATTCCAAAGTCCCTATCGGCCATTTCCTCACCTACTGTGATTTATCTGTTAAACAGATCGTAGTCTGAGGGTGCATTCCCAAGCAACTGGAAATGCTCGGTACTGAAACCGATCCAGAAGGGCGGTGACGCGACTAAAGCGGATAATTATTGACCAATTTGTCTGACCTTTATTTCGGCGAAAGCGCTCGAGAAGATTGTGTAAAAGCGTCTTCTCCAGCTATTAGAGTCGATAGGCCTCCTTTCGCCTGCACAGCACTGTTTCTTGAAGAGCCGCTCCAACCTGCTGTTAACGCGGAACGGATGATTGCATGCGTTGAACCGGGGGAAATTAGTACATGGTATCTATGTTGATTTCAGTAAAGCTTTCGATAAAGGGAACCATGAGATCTTCCTCCACAAGCTGAGGATGTGTGGTGTTGGCGGCGCACTACACCAGTGGATCACTGACTTCCTCATTTAGAGAAAATGGTGGGTACAGGTGGATAACCACCTAACGGAATGGTATCTGTCCACTAACGACGTATCCCCAGGCACAGCACTGGGGCCCATTTTGTTTCTGACCCACGTCAACGAAGTTCCTCAGCTTCTTCGGTCGCCCTGCGCATTGTTTGCAGACGACCTAAGATTTGGAGGGTTATTGATTCTCCCGACGATTGTGATTTCCATCAGCGTGACCTCGACCGCCTATCCTGGTGGTCTGCAGAAGTTGATCTGCCGGTCAAGCCATCATTTATGAGTCTGCGGAAGCATGGTAATGGGCATATGTACACTGCAGCCGGCCAACCGTTGCATCCGACATTCTCCTTAAAGGATCTAGGTATAGTCTCAGCTATCTGAAGTTCGTCGACAACACGAACAGACTGTACGGAAACCGACTATGAATGGTTTGGGCACTTAGGCACAGCTTCTGCGCTTGGTCTGAAGTGATTGCCACGCCCGTTCTCTTCCATGATAAAACCGGTCCTTGAGTACGGCTCACCTGCCTATTGTCCGATCACAATAGGTCAGTTGCAGATACTGGAATGGGTTGTGCATGTAGCTAACCGGCTCATCCCCAGTTTACGGGTATGTCGTACGTGGACCGATGTAGGAGACTAGGATTTTATATCCTGTCATATCGTCGACTTTGAGTTGGTCTCATAATGACATACGGGATATTGCACGTGGGCCACTTCCCTACGTTGAGGCCGCTGTTGCACGTTCCCGCACCAAGCAGCACATGCGGACAAACTGGTGGAACCGAATTTCAAGCGTATTGCTCACCCACTATGTTTCGAGCGTCAAGTGGTGAAATAATGGAATAAATTGCCGGGGACAATGATCGATGCAAAAGCAGTGTCGGAATTTAAGAGATTCCTCGACGCCCACCTTGCGGATTACAGGTATAGGGAGCGTATCGCACCCGGATGAGGTGTAGTGCAGCTGTAATATGCTGCCAAAACGCAGGATCAGCGACGCGATTCTGCGTAGGTATCCCATCTAACTAAGATGGAGCAACAGATTTATATCTCCTCGCTCTAATTTCAGTATTCACTATTCATAGGTGATAGCTCAAAAGTGTGCCAAGCGGCACTGGACAGATCAGCACTAGCTGTCAGCCGTTTCGAGCTTGGCTTTGCACCCTCAAAGTGCAAAGCTTTCCTCCAAGTGTGGCAGGGACCCAACCCTGCGCTGACTCTTGATGGATATCAAACAGAAGTCGCACAAAAAATTCAACTACTTAGGCGGTTGTATCAGCGCCAATAGAATTGAAGACGAAGTCACAAACCGTATGGCAAAATCATGAAGCGCTTTTGATAACCTTCGCCACCTATGGCGCCGGCGCGACATCACTCTCTCCCTGAAGGACAGAGTGTACAATGCAGCCGTACGTTTGATCCTACTGTGTGGTTGTGGAACCTGGACCGTAGAGTGGCTAGTTACATTCGATCACCGTTGCCTTCGCAGTTTGGCACATATCAGGTGGGAACAGCGCATGAGCAATGTGTTTGATGCCTTGTTTATGGCACAAGAAGAGGAGGTGAACCGCTCAGCATCGTTATGTCAAGCCCTAGGTCCCGGTGGCTGGGCCACGTGTTGAACATGCCAGCCCACTGGCTCCCGCGACATGTGTTGTTTTCACGCCAGGTGTGTGGATGGAAGAAGGGGAAGGGTGGCCAAACGATGATTTGGCCAAGAGGAGTGAAGGCCCTCACTTTGAAGTTGACATCTGTTGGAGCCTCTAAGCTCCCTGGTTCGGGTCCGAAAGATGATGAACAAGTTTGGCTGGACACACTTGTTGACATGGCTAGGAATCGACTTCAGCAGCGTTTGTGCTGTGAGTTTCTTTGTCCCTCTCCCACCCGCTTAGCCCCCTCCTTCAACTACGATCCGATTTTGTGGCACAATAGCCAGCTGCTAACTATCCGGAACGATGCCCATCCGTTATTGGTGGCCCAGCTGGCGTGCCTCTGATGCAGGTTTCTTAATCTTTGCTAATGGATTGCGGCCCAATAGCTGTGTTCTCCCCCACTAGCTGACGTGTATGAAGACGATGATTGAGGATGAGGATGATGATGAGGATGATGGTGATGATGATGATGACGATGATGACGATGATGTTGATGATGGTAAATTCATGCTCCGTAAGTGTTTGGTGAGCGTGCTTAGCGGGTGCATAAATAGATGCTAAATAATATATTAATTTGTTGATGCAAGGAACTCAATTGATAATAAGAAATTATTACTCGTCCATAAATCACGTAGCTGCGGACGAGGTGACGCCATTCGACGCTAAGAATACACTATGGATAACAAAAGTCAAAGAATTGAAGGCGCTTCAGGTCGTCAAACTGAAGTGACCGTGCTTCACTACAGTAGAGCGGAATGACTGTCGCTGTGCTCCAGTGAACTGGACTCGCAACAAGTCTACTAGTTGCGGTATTTATTCGTCCGTCTTTGCTATGGTAAATGCCAAAGGCTGAATTTATCAGCTATCTACGGGGATAGTTAGTGGCCGGTGGTCTGGTAACGGTACGTTGAAGCTCGAGAAGTATTTCAAGTAATGGGACCACGCAGACTACCGATCAACAAAAAAGAAGATGCCGCTTGCACAGCCCGAATCAATCGCATTAAAAGGCACCAACAGTACGCCGGTAGGCAGTACCGATGCTTCGCTGCCGCACCAGTACCACCAGTCGCACGTGGGCTAAAAATACTGAGAGGGTCGCCTAGTCCCCTACGCAAGCTCGAACCTGCGCCCTCGGATTAGAAAACAGGCTTTTGATCCTTATAGCTACAGGCCGGCATCAAACGCATTGCTCCACAGCAGCGCCTGAAAGCCTGCATTGTGACATGTGCACAGATAAATCGACATAGTAGAAGCCGACGTACCCAAGATTTTAGGAGCTGTGACTACATGTAAAGGGAGAAATGCGCATAAACAGGTCGCGTAAACAACTCCACGAACAAGGCCCAGTAAATCTGGTGACGAAAAGCAATTGCAACAGTAAGTCAGTTGTGCCCGTACTGGCGAGATCCTAGCTAAAGAGGTACAAGAGAGTAAGCCGACTCAATGAATCGAAAAGCACCAGGCACGTGGCCGAGTGAGTGAGATATGAGGCTCCCCAGAGCATCCCTGGCCCGCATGCGACTAGTGTCAGGGTTACGTGGTAGCAAGGTGACGGTGCAAAGTACCGGCACACTGTTTATGCTTCTCTGCAGTATGCAAGCGCAATGGCTGCTTTCACTGGCCAAGAAATGTTCGGATAACAATCACAGAGAAAGATAAGTTCGGTACTCCAACAGCCCAACCATAGTCAGTCCCGTCATCCATGTTCGATGAGTGCATGATCACACAATGAGGAACAAATATCCGAAAGAATGAAATTACCTTGGTTATGTGAAGCATATTTACAAGGGTTTAGGCTCGACAGCCAGGTTTGCGGCCCATGAATCTCGCAAAGCCGATAATAACATGGCCTGACTTTTTCGTTGAAATGCTCTTCGTAAGCTTGTGATTTCTTTCTCTTCGCTTCCCTCGTGAGTTATGATAAGTGAAATAAACGAACGTTAGTTTTCGAATCATGGTTATTTGTGAGCCGAAATGAAATCCGGCAAACAACAACCGGTTCCGAGAAAACAAGTTCGCTTCAAGAGGAAAACATGCAATTTCGGCTCTTGACGAAGAATCACGCACGCAATGCACAGTAAGAGTGCTCGCTTGGTGCTCATATCCAATTGGGTGGTTTCAAGATGCCCTACCGAGTAACTATGCACGGGTAGCCTCAGAACCTAAACAAATTATTGTCAGTTATACAGGTGAGATGAAGAAACTGTCGACATCGGCTGAACAAAATAACTGGTGTAATCCCGTATGTGTAGTCAAGCAGCAAGTTCCCAAAGCACCTAATATTCGCAAGGGTAGCTCCGTACAAAAGCATGTGGGCATTCGATCTTGTTTCCCTAACACTCAACAAGCGCCAAGGATCTGAGCCAATAGCCAACTAAATGCGGAAACGAACACAGGCATTCAGCGACTTACAATGAATTCGAAATTAGATCGAGGTTTTGAAACCTGCGCTCTTAAGTCAGTATACTGTTAGGTCTTATGTTAGGCAACAGAGGAGTAGTACATAACGTACTTGCGCAAATTTCTCCGTGACTGAAGACTTAGCGGGTTCGGGATGATTAGTGAGGACCAAGCGCAGTGCTTCAGAATCTGCCAAGGTAGAATGATTCCCTGTGCGTCCACGGGCAGAAGCTGGGCGTGCCAGAACAGGCTCAGGGAGCTCCTCACTAGACGTTCTAACTCTGCACCAAGTGGCGGGCCTTCTTTTCACTGGCGACAAATATCCTGTACGCCCTTGAATGGGTATGGGCTTTTCAGAGTAGTCTGCATTTGGCAAAGCTTCCATTTGGGCAAGCCCCACAGTGTCGGAAGATGCTGGAATTGGAGGGGTCATATCCAACTGATTCGGTGCGGGATGCGGTCTGCCTGATGGAAGCGCGGAAACGCTAGCCACACTTCCGCGACTCGAATCACTAGAAGCTGGAAGTTTGGAATCTGAAGACAAATTCAAACATGACAATAAGAGATAAGTCAGCAAAACGACGCTTACGGTGATACGACCTGATGCACAAAACACGAGAGTAAACCAACAAAATGTAAATTAGTGTCATGATTCCGTTTAGAATGATGGAGATAGACGAGTAGAAAACAAGCGTACTCCTAGGGTAAAACACTTATGGAAAAAGGTATAGAGTTGAATAGAAAGTGCGATCAAACAGCTGGGAATTGGACCTAGGAGCATATCGGAGCTAACGAATGCGACGTATCGGACAGCAGTTCTAACCACTGATGTGGTCAGTTCATATGGTTGGCGGCATCCGGTTTCGGATTTGCCTATCACTGTGGTCAGCCACAGGACGCCTGCGCCTACAGAGGGACCATGGGTGGCTTGCGCTGCAACAACCACAGCTCCAACCACACATCTCATATCCAGTGTAAACCAGAAGGAACAAAACCGGGAGGCATGTGGATGCGAGCCACGTTACATCAACGGAGCAGGCCCACACTCCGTCACAGGCAGACACAAGCACGCTGTATTTGGGAATCAACCGCACACAAGGCGGTGGCTGGACCGTAGTCCATCGTCATCATCATCACCAACAGCAGTACACCAGCCATTTGAACTGATGCTTCGCTGCCATACAACCATGAGGACCTATGAAATAAAGAATAAGAAGAGGAAGAGAAGGGGGACTTACCTGAAAACCTTAATGCCCTAAGCAAATATTCAGGGTCAAGGCGCATACACCTTGTGTAGACAACATACCGTCACAAACAGCTGCCTATCGTGCAAAGGCAAGGCGGTATCGCAGAGACAGCTTACTTGCGTCTTTCACTGCCACGCGTCATAATCAGCCATTACCCCGCAGATAACTCAGCACCAAACACACTTTAATCAGGCAATGTGATTAGGAGACGGCAGCAGACGCGCCACTAATGTCGGTTGCGAGCCATGTCCTGTAAAGTCTCGAGCCAAGCACAAGGCGAGTCACGTGGACTCCAGTGCGGAAAGCGAGACGGACCAACGGCACCTAGTTTGGTCGTCAGTGACTCCATTTCCCGCTGCCAAGTCAACTTCTGTCCACCGAGAGCCTTGCGCCACCCTACACCTGGCAGACTAAACAAGGCCCTCCTAGGTAAGCGGTGACCAGGCATACGTAGTATGAGCCCGAGCCAACGCAACTTATTCAGTGCTATCTGTTGTTCTAGGCAGCTAGCATGATTATCACCATCTAGTACTCGCCTACGCACATCATCGTTGAGGACACGCTAGTGCCATCCGAATCCAGAAATGCTTCGCAGACCACGATGAGCAAAGACTTGAAGGCGCCTCGAATCTTCAGACCGAAGGGGCCAAGTCGCACTATCATACAGCAGGACGGCCCTCACTGTGGCCTTGTATACACGGCCTTTCGGACAAAGGGAAACTCCCTTCTGTCGCCAAAGATGCCGCAGGTTCAAGAAGGTAGCTCTGGCCTTTGCAATGCGTGAGCTCACGTCAGTTTCTATGCGCCCATCGTTGCTGATGCAGCTGTCAAGATAAGTGAATTGATCAACCATCTCGAGTTCCTCGTTAGCAAGCGTCAAGGGGTCATCGAGTGGCTGGTGGTCCTGCAGCAACACTTTGCACTTTGAAGGTGCGAAGTGCATACCAAATAATGGGACCACTCTGGACAGGCTATTCAGGGTTGATTGCGCCGTCACAACATTGTCGAAAAGCAAGATGATATCGTCCGCATAATCTAGGTCAACTAACCTTTCACCAGGAAGCACTTCAACGCCTACATCGTGAGATTCCCAAAGGGAACACACCATGATAGAGTCCACGACAATACTGAACAAAATTAGGAAAATCGGAGAACCCTGACGATGCCCCTTGTGGTCGGAAAGCTATTCGATAGGACACCGTAGACCCTGATGCGGCCGGTAGTGTTCGAGTATAAAGCACGAAGGATGTTCACATATTTCGTGGGAACACCTTTCCGCGCAAGTATTTCGAACAGAATCGATCGATCGACTGAATCGAACGCACTCTTGAAATCGAGGAACACAGCTGTTGTCGGTCTGCGGTATGCGTGGCGCTGCTCTAGCAACTGCCGCAAAGTAAATATATGGTCTATACAGCCACGTCCTGGGCGAAAACCGGCCTGCTCTTCCCTAATCCGAGATTCCCGTTCTCCAGTGAGGCGACGAACGATAATCGAGGCAATAATTTTGTCACAACTAGCGTTAGGCTAATACCCCTGTGTTTAGAACAGTCTGTGCGACTGCCCTTCTTGTATATTGCCACTATAATCGATTCGCTCCAATTAGTCGGTACATTTCCTTCCAGATACGTTCGAATAGGAAGGTCAGTGCTTTGCAGAGGACCTCACTCCATCCCTAAATAGTACAGGTGGGAGGGAATCCGGGCCAGCGGCACGAAAACGATTGAGGGCTGTAATCGCGTTTCGGACCTCGGCCTCCGATGGAGGCTCTAAACTAACCGTCCATAGCTCGTCCTGCATCATCTGAGTAGGAAGAGGACCGGGAGCAGGGGGCCAGATGAACTGATCTTGAAAGTGTTCCGCCCAACGAACCATACGGCGCTCCTTATTGTGTATCAGTGCACCCGCGCTGTCTCTGATTGTCTCACTGACGCCTGGTTTTCTGAAACCAGTGGTGCGGATTAGCTGGAAGAGCCTGTGGTAATTGCCTACTGCTCCTGCCTCCTCCATTCCTTGAGCCCTACTGGTCCACCAGGCTTCTTTGTCAGCACCTAGGCTCCGCTTTAGTTCAAGCCTAATAGCCCGTCTGGTCACATTGTGTTCAGAGCCAGCCAGGAGGTGTCTTCTAGATTCCAACAGGTTCATCAACCTCGCGGATATCCAGTGACTGGTGCGGTGACGATGGATAGTGCAACAAGCAGATGCTCCTGCGTCGTGCATGGCGGCCGAGTTCCTATTCCACTGAAGATCAGTGTTATTAGGACAAGACAGCGGAAGTTCGGTATGCAGTGTCCTTGATAGGCTTGCCTGACCGAGGGCTAAGACAATTTCTCCGCTGCCAATCGTAGGGGACGCTTGGTGCGCCTCCCGGTAAAGTTCATGGAGAAACGACAGCGTACCAAGGCATGATCAGAGTCGACACAGGTACTCCAGAACCAGCGGCAATCCAGGATGGAACCACGCCATCTGTAACTTATGGCTATGTGGTCAATTTGGGTCCATCGCTGGCCAGCAACAGGAGGAGGCCAAGTGGCACTTCGGCGCCCACTGTGTCTAAAAGCAGTGCTACTAAGAAACAACTGGTGATCCGCACACAGTTCCAGCAGACGTTCACCGTTGTCAGTCCGTTCGGAGTTAAGCCCACAATTACCACCCAGCTGAGCTTCTGAAGAACTCAGACGCCCTACTTGTGCGTTCATATCCCCTGGACTACTAGCACTGCGTAACAGCGCGTTCAGTTCGTTCTTGACAACATCTGAACTGTAGTCGGTGGGAGCATAAACAGAAATCACGAACAAACAGCGTTTTGTACTACTTCGTGAATCAACCTTAGCTGATGTCATCAAACGGGCTGCACATAAACAACTGTTCACCGGAATCCAATCAACCAACGATGGCTCAACCTTGGAGCTTAGAATGATACCTACACCAGCTTGACCCGTGAGCACTGCATCGACGTCTCCGGATGCGTGCAACCAATAACGAGAGGATAATCAGGGTGCAGTCAATTCAATAACCCCGTTAGGGTCACTGATCCTAGTTTCGGACACACAGCACACATCAATACCCAGTGTGTCCAAGGTGCGTGCGAGTGCAGCATGTTGACCTGTTTGTCTTAGAGTGCGAACGTTGAATGTCGCCATGGAAACGGGATAGCGTGGCTTTATAAGGGACTTTTGCCGATAGGCGTCAGATAAATGCGGTGGGATGGTGGCTGCAGATGGTTCTACTCCAGTGGCACTTCGGTTGCCATCAATTAAGCTGGGAATTACAGAAGGAAGATTAGTAATGGGGGTCAGGATAAGAGTAAGAGGAACAGGTGGAAAAGAAAAAAGGGAGGCGCCAGCAGTAGCACGTTTTCGATTATCTGCCCTGCTGTATGCAGCAGTTATGGCGACCCTTGATAATCTGCACGACGGCCGATGCAGGATGAATTTTATGTTGGAATAAAATGTCATGGTTGTATGTAGGCTGAGATACTGCCATGGCGCCCAGACCTAGACAGGAGGAAGGATTAGGGTCCTCAACCAAAGCCTTTGGCTCGAAAGCATGTCCGCAAGGCAGCGGGGAGGTGGCAAGGATTTAGCTTTACAGAAATGGACGCCATCCCATTTCAAACACCCAACCTGGAGGACCAGGAGACTGAGTTTGTCTGACCTCTCACCATTGACCAACCTGGTAAGAGTAGCTCTCAAGGTGCCCGGAGGCATCACCCAGTATAGCTCAATGGGTCAATGAGGTACGCAAACAGTCGCACCATGTTAAGATCCAGTCTCGTTGCAACGGTGGACCGTAGTCCGCTACACACTGAGTGCATGGAACCACTCTTTGATCCTAACACGGCCAAAAGGACCGTGTACCCCGTCCCCTCCAGCAACGACCAAATGTCTCCTGGATCCAGTATGGACGAAGTAGTGGGTAATAGACAGGTAGGCACCTTGTCAAGCGCAGCCACACCGGGGATATCAAGCAACAGCCAATCACTTGAAAGATAACAAATAAAATAAACCGAGTAATGCATAAGGAAACGGTGACATAAATCTTAAATTAATGAGCATATGAAATAAGTTGCTTACAAAAGAATCCGAGATAAGTTCACGAGGTCAGAAAGTATATCTAACGGAAATGCCACAAAGACGAATATGTTATCGAAATTAACTACACTTGGCTTAAGCGACGTGTGCAA